CCCGCCACCCGCCATCCCCGGGCGCTCTGCTCGCCACTCTGCAGTCCCCGCTGGCGGTCCCCCGGCGCTGCCCCCGCACCCCGCTCGCCGCGCCGCCGGGCCGCCATGTCTCTGTGGTGAGTTAAGGGGCTGGGGGCCGGGGAGGGGGTCCCCGGCCTCACCCTCCAACCCGAACCGGGGGACAAGCAGGCGGCTCTCAGCGACCCGGCTGCGCGCCGGAGTCTGCCCGGCCTCAGTGTCCCGGCCAGGCGGGCTGGCGCGGACGGCGGCCGGCGATGCCAGCGTGCGCGGCGGCGGCATCCGCCGCTCGGCGCGGTGACCGCAGATTCTGCCCCGGGACCGAGCGGACCCTTCTCTCCGACCCACGCCCTGGGGCACCCAGATTCTCCTCTGGGCCCTGGGATTGGGGACGCCGGGTCTCGCCAGCAGCGGGCCCCTACCTCCCATTCGGCCGCGCTCAGGGACCCTCGAGGGCCGCCTGCGTCCTGGGCAACCTCGACCCCCCATCCTCTGTGACTCTCCTGCCCCCAGAGGGAGCCCCGGCCACCGGCCTGGCCCCTGGCGGCCCTCCTCCCCTCGCCTCCACTGCAGGCTTTTCTCTTCCAAACGGAGTGGGACGGGGCAGGTGGAGCGGTCCGGACAAGGGGCCGCGCCATGATCTCCGGGGTGAACCTCCTTGGTCCTGGGTCCTGCGCCTGACCTTGAGGGGCAACGCTGAAACCCCCAGATCCGGAGCCCTCTGCTTTCTGCCCTAGAAGGGTCCCATCTTGGGTCACACCGGATCCCGGCACCTGAGGTGACCCGGTCTTCCTCGACCCTCATGCACTGCAAACCTTGGGGCTGGATGGAAACAATGTGGCTCAGTGGGCTCAGCCTTCACTCAGCCTGGATGTCTGGACCCGGCACCTCCCGTCTTGAGGTCACCCGGGCTTCTTCACAGTCTCTGTCTTTCCCACACCACCCTGCACCTTCTCCCTTGGAGGCCAGTGGCATCACCCTGCCGGCCAGGCCCTCGCAGGCCACCATTTTCTGCCCGGCCCTTTCTCAGGAGCCCTGGGCCCCCTGTCTCCAGAGGTGAGATCAGGGCAGGCTGCTTCCAGAGTGTCAGCTCAGACGAGGGGGCCTGCAGGCCAGGGGCTCAGGCCTGGGCCCGGCCAGTGCGCCTGGCAGAGAGCTCTGATTTCTGCTTCTAGAATGGGTGTGGTGGTGGTCACTTGGGCAAGGAGGGTCCCTGGACAGCTGGGGGTCAGAAGTTGTTCCCCTGGGGCAATAGAACTGGGGGTTCCTTCTGTCCTAGTGGGACGTTGAGGAGGACGGGCAGTGTTCATGCTAGGGGACACCTGCTCCATTTCCAGGCCTCTGTCATCCATGAGAACTACCTTCATTGTTGGGTCAGATGGGCCAGGGAGGGGAGGGGTTCTTCAGGTCCCAAGCTAAGGCCGGCCGCCCTGTGCTGCCCGGTGCTGTCACAGAGTCACTGAACTCTCAGCTGCACATAAGGTACTGTCTTTGCCACTTCCCCCACCTCCAAGGCCTAATAAGTTTGCCCAGGGAAGTGAAAGTAAATGGGGGTGCCTGTGCTGGGGTGAAGAAGAACAGAGGTCACCAATAGGAGGTCGTCCCGGTAGACTCACAGGATCCCATGACTGCCAGGCACTGCATACAGCCCCCCAAGCCTGTGTTATGACCCCCACTTTGGGGGAAGATGAAGTGGCGATTTGTAGAATTTAAGTGATACGCATTCAGAGTCATTTAGCTTGTAAGTAGCGGGGCCAAGATTTGAACCCCGGCGGCCTGACTCCCCAGTGTGGTGTTTAAGCTCTGTGCTGTGTGGCCCACCCCCCGCCCTTGAGGAGGGAGGAGGGAGGCGGGGGCGGGGGG